GGATAGATAGATAGATAGATAGATAGATAGATAGATAGATAGATAGATAGATAGATAGAAAGACGGACGGACGGACGGACGGACGGGTGGATGGATGGAGAGATAATTATATAGAGGGATGGATAGATGGGTGGACAGATGGATGGATGGCTGGATGGATGGATGGAGAGATTAATATATAGACAGTAGATAGATAGATAGATAGATAGATAGATAGATAGATAGATAGATAGATAGATAGATAGAGGCATGGACAGATGGATAGGTTATAATTAAACTTTTGTTGAGGTATGTGACCAATTTGAAAGCCTTTTTGACATGAAATAACTATGCCTTAAAATGAAAATCTTCAGTGCTGTCATATGTCAGTGTTTCCGGCAAATGCTGATTTTTGTATTTTGTATTTCTCTCTCTATAGTGATCTCTGTCGAGTTGGCGGGACCCTGCCGGGCCATCAAAGGAAGAGTATAGGAGATGCACAAGACATGAAACAACAAATGAGCCAAACTCTGCCCATACGGGTTTGACTGATTAAAAAAAAACACCTGCTGAGCCTCCAGGCTAGCAGCAGATTCCCATTTGAAGAGTAAACCTGACTGGGACAATCCATACAAAACCAATGGAAAATTACTGGAGCCGACTATTGCTTGAAGAGCCAATGGAAAACCTGTATACAATTTGGGACAGTGTCGCACCCCTCCCAAGGAGCCTGTGGAAAACTACGGCGTGTCCAATAGAAAACTGTATGGGCCTGACGGGCAGCCTGTGTATGGGGCACCTGGGGAGTGCTGGGAAAACACAGCACATGTTAATTGGAATTCTGTATGATGGCGCCTCAGGCAATCGTCTTTGTTCTTTCCCTCCCTTTTGTCATGACTTTCTCATGTTTACACTGAATTTTCATCACATGGATTAAATTGACAACGTTTCTACTTCTCAGGTTCAGTTTGCATGTGTACATGTGATTATCTAATGGCAAAAAGCGATCACTCTCTTCCGTAACTCCAATCCCTTCCATTCTTCCTCTCATTTGCCGAGGCCACAAACGATGAGATGGACTCAAGACTTATAAGCTAACTGTAATAATGTTTAAAAATGTATTAAATGTAAGCCAAACAATGTTTGATGTTGGCTTGAGGATATTTTGCCGCTCTTTTTCCCTCAAAGACTTGTTTCTTCGGATCATTTCTTCATATTGAAGAAAGGAAGAGATGAGTGGATCACATGAAAGTTTCAAACTAGCCAGGATGGACTCAAACTGTAACTTTCAGAAAGAGAAGAGGAAATTTTCAAAGAATGGAAAGTCCTTTAAGGGCGAGTGGACTTTAAAAAAGCAGACTCTTACGATTCAAGAAAAGTGTTTTATTTACCTCTGTTGTATTTTGTCTTCCATGAAATGCTCTTGAGAGATTTCTCCACGTGGAGGACTTTGGACTGTGATTTAAGAACTCCCATTTCCCCTGCCTATGAACAAGGGGGAATTGTGCTCTCTGTGTGTGTGTGTGTGTGTGTGTGTGTGTGTGTGTGTGTGTGTGTGTGTGTGTGTGTGTGTTTG